CTGCATGCACCGAAGATAAATTCACAGTAGGCCATCCATGGCTGTTCCATGCAAGAAGCCTTGAACCAAAAATGACAATTTAATGGCAACAAATAGAAACTGAATACCCCCCTCCTATCCACACTGAGCTTGCTTCCCCAGCTCTTAGGCTCACTGAAAGCAGCTGACAAACGGCCATTAGCTTCTGTGGGTTTCCAGATTTTCCTTCTGCTTTGGGCACTGCGTTTGTAGTGTTTTCAGCAGCGGTCTCATTGAACTCACGGATCATTGACTTCCAGCTGAAGACTCAGCTTTGCTACTTTTTGCCCTTGGAGGCCAGTTATAAATGGTGGGTCAGGTGCAATTCTGCTGAAATGTGATAATCTGGTCAGAGCGGGCAGCCTCAGTTTTCACCCACTGAGATAATGGGCCTTGCCTCAAAATAAATAGCAAGTTAAAAAATAAAAAACATTCATTTTGTTATAAATGTATGGAGGATGTGATCTGAAGTGCTAGAAGTTAGAGATATAAATGTTGTGCTTATAGGCAGACATCTAAAATTAGAGATGTTCTTGTCTATTGGGGATCAGATACTATTTGAGTGCTATTTCAAGGCTAACCTTTGGCAAGCTAATTTATTAGATATTATGAAAAATCCTAAGCAGCCTTTTTAATGCTTATATATTTCAACATCTCTGGGCCAGGGGTTGAAAGCAACATCAGGCCCTTCATTTCTGTAAATCACTTGCAGAGCCTCACATGAAAGACACTGTCAAACTAACTTCAAGTCTTTGACTTTAGGTAACTCTTGCTCGTAAAAAAAAATAAAAAATAATCCACTGACTTCAGAGGCAGCTTTAGTGAATGCAGGCTTCAGGATGTCATCTTTCAGCAATATTTTTAAGACAGAGTCAGGTCCTGAGGGACACTGAATACCTGCAACTGACTTTGACAAGTTCTCCAGGTTCTTGGCTTCTCCTAGGATTTAAACCATAGACAAGAGTACTAGGAAGGGCTTTTTCTCTAGGATGGCCTGAGCCTTGCCTTGAGTATGTGGATGTGTGAACTTTAACACCACCTGTATTTTTCTTGAACATAAAACCCCCCATTTAAACAGGGTCCCGCATACCCAAATCTCACAGACCTATTTGCATGACATGCTGTAAAGAACCCTCTTCTGATTTTGGACAGGTATGGGGTGGAAAGAAGAGAGATGCCCTTTCTTTTTTCTCACCACACCACCTCAGAGCAGTTTATTTCAGTACAAACTGAGAATTTCTCTTTTTCTTTTAATCTTCAAAGAGCAACACATCGTGCTATGCTCTGAAACAAAACTAGAATTTCCAAAAGCCCCCAGCGCACCACACACTGCAGCCTTTCCAGGGCTTGGGCAACGCTTGGTACGAAGCCAGTGGCCAGTGGATATTCAATACAAAAAGGCTCAGTGGCAAAAGCAGCATGTGGTGGATTCAGCAAGCAGCTCTCATTAGTGCCAGTAGGAGCCTGGCCACTAAGCCTTCACACCTCTTTAAAGATGTTTCCTCTGTCTTTAATAGACATCTGCACAAATCTACTCCGAAGCTGAGACCAAGCAGGCAAAAGTTTTAGCTGGGAAAAAAAAAAAGTCTTAGCTGTTAGAAAGCTGGCCCTTTTCCAGAATGGAGAGCATCTGGCCACCAGCTGTGTTTAGAGGACAGCAGGCACAAGGAATAGATCAGGGGAAAATCTGAGAAACAAGTAGACAGTGCTGAAATTTGTCATGAAAAGAATACCAGCCTTCCTCTGTGATGTCCAAAACCTTTGCCCTCCTACATTCCCTATCCTTTTCTCTTCCCCCAGCTCTCAAGCCAATTACTGGAAAATGGCCCATTCAGGAGAACACGGATACCCTTTCTGGGCTTGGGAAGGAATCCAGCCGGGCTCTAGAGTAAAAAAAACTGGGAAGTGTGGAAACTGGCAGCATGTGAGGGAAAGTGGAAATGTGAGGGAATTCTGGAAACTAAGGGAGGACCTTGTAGAGAGGGAGAAGAAAAGATCTGCCATGAGGCAGCGGGCAGGATGCCTGCAAGTCCTCAAATATTACAGCAGTGGATTAGTATAAAAAAAGGCAGGTGAAAAGGAATGGAAACAGCCCTTCACTCATTACAGGCTGGAAAGTTATGATTTAAAAGGAAAAAAAAAAGAAAATCACAGGTTTTTCTAAGGATGTTGTGCTTTTTTCTATTTCACCTAGATTGGAGGTAATACGTTCCCTCACAACTTCGAAGTTATTGCAACTCATACAAAGACTAAAGAAGCAGAAGGCTTTTTATTTTCTAAGATGATAATACCATCTCTCTAAAAAATGCTAATAAAATGCTCTGCTGGAAATAGCCTTATCTGATAGGGATGGTATTCATGAGCACCCACTGAAACTCACACTGCTTTTTAGATTAAATTGACAACAGAGCCCTCCCTCCCGCACCAGCCCCAGATTAATGGAATGAAGAATCCATGCATGAAGCCACGTATATTAAAGCCTGGAGATTATGAAACAGGCTAGAAGACAGGATCAGAATTGCAATTGATCTTGATGAAGTGGGGAAATTACCCCAATTAAAGCAATATGAATCTAATAGAGACAAGTTGAAAGTGTTATACTTTGGAAGGTGCAGTAAACAAATGCACAAATAAAAGCGGGAACTCCTGGGAAAGCAGCAGTGAATCACCCAGGAATTGTAACAGAAGACAGACTAAATCAAAGTCAGCCATGGGATGTTCTTGTAGAAAATATTCCAGGATATATTTTCTGATATGCTGTACATAAGCCTCTGGAGACTCTGCTTTGCTTGTTACTGTATAGAACACCTGCTGGGGTTCTGCATTTTGGGGAAACTGGGGAGTCATGAGGGGAATGGCAGCAAAAATCAGAGACCTAGAAAATACTAGCAAAGGAACTAGGAAAGACTTATACAGTGAGGGAAGTAGGATAGCTCCTCTCACACAGAATAATCTTTTAAGAGGATCTTGTAAGATCATCTGTTCTTCCTGTCGATCAGGGCTTGAAGGAAAAGTGGCTCAATTTGCAGTAAATTCCAAACAGTCTCTTAGGAAAACCTTCTGATTATGAGGATAGTGAAGATCATGGATCGCCATCACTGGACGTTCCAAGAGCCTGCAAGCTGTTTGGCGTGGTTCAGCTAGACCTCACCCAGCCTCATGGCAGGAGAGGTGGACTAAAACCATCGTTTTCAAACTCTGGTCTATGGATCCACAAAGGTCTGCTGACTACTTTCAGGAGAAATGAATGCCAGGGTTACACAGGGGCTGGCTCTTCTGCTGGCAAAAGTGATGTGAGTCACAGGTCGAAGAAGAATTGGAAGTCATGATTTTTTTTCAGGTTCCTTTCAGCTATACATCTATGACTTCGGGATTACCAATGGTTTGAAGGGTGAAAGTTATACATCAACATCCCTTATACATCAACAACCACAGTCCCTTCCTGTAACAGCTCTGACCGACAGGTTCTTGGGGCTTGTTCTCTCCTACCATTTGCTAGACACCAGCAAAGCAGATCTCACGGCAGCAGTGGGTGCCATGCTTTCTGTCATGCTCAGCCACCCAGATTCACAAGCCCCTGAAGGAGCAACGGGACACATGGATGCGTGGGCTGAAGCAGCTCTTCTGGCAGCTTCGCACAGTGTGTGTTTGGAGGCACCTGCACTCTGTCACTAGAGCCTCTGCCTCATGTTTGCCTTTGAGTGCCCAAAGCCCGTGACCACTCAGTTCACGTACAGCCACCAAAGGACATCTTAAGCCCTTTATCTCTGAAAGAAAACCAGTGAATGTTACCACAGATACCAGATACACTCAACTCATCAGTCTCAACTCATCAGAACAACTAGCATGGACTTTTCAGTCCATCCTTCAATAAGCCCCAGGCAGGTTCCTACAAATGCTCAAAAGACATCAGCTTCCAGGGGCAGCCTGTGCACACAGGACTCTACATCTCCTTACCAAAACCACAGTTAGTATTTGAGCTAGAAACAGGGGCACACCACTTGTGGCTATCATTATAGCATTAGACGCCAGACTGCCTATCTACAGGTATACCTGTGGGCACGTTTCCCAGATAAAGCTATTTTGCCTATGGATATAGGCGTATGCAACTCCTGACAACTTCACTGGGCACTATGCACATACCCAGGGGAAAAATGTTAGTATTGTGATTATTGTCTGAAAACCTGCTATTTTAAACCATGAAGCTGCGGGGTGAGGTCTGCTGCTATCTAGTTATCATTGGCATGGAAGGATGGGTTTCCATGGATGAAGAGGCACACCAAACAACACGCACCCCTGCATGTTGCTGTTGCATCAACCATGGTCTTGCTTCTCTGAGATCCCAACATTCTCACAGAAGTTGCCATTACCTAAATGTTCCACACAGCATCTTGTGTGAACATCTACTATACAGGGAAAAAAAAAAAAAGTCTAATTGACTGACCTGCTGTGTCTCTGCGACATTAGTGGCAGTTTAGACATCTTTTGTAATTTGTTGCAGAAACTGTAGAGACTTTAAAAGACCAAGCGCACAGGAGGATTTACACCTCAGAGTCATAAAACAGCTTCCTACTGTGTTGATAACTAAAGCCAAAACTGTGTTCTCTGAGCATGCCAAAAGCTATCAACATGGAAGAGCACCCGACGTAGACACTTCAGCAAAAGAACAAGAGGTTAACATGCACTGTCAAAATAAAACTTCTGAAGTCTATGAACTGGGCACACTTTCTGAACGGCATGCTAGAAAATAAATGTATTAATGTCACTTTGCCATGGAGAAGGCAACATCTTTGTCTACTTCTTGCCATGGTTTTCAGAGACAGAGCATCAGGAATGTTGTGGCACAGAGCAGATTTGTCTCGCTAACAATACGCTGCAAAAGAAACGAAGCATTGACATTAAATCACACCCCTCCATCCCACCCCACCCAAACCCTGCATTGTATATAACCTATACGTTCTCAGGATACAGTGAGAAATCATTCTATAGTACATATTTAATTATAATTTAAAAAAGTCTAACTCGGACACAATCTCTGGCCAGTAGCAAAGTATTGACACACTACTGAAGTAAAGATCTGTTACTGTCCCTTCACTGTAACAAACAGAAATCAGCATCTCGAGAAGGGTCTCTGGGGGTATCGTATCACAACCAATTGCACCAAATAAAAAAATATGCTAATTTCACAAATGAAGTTTGACGAGAAGTAACATTGCATTTGTCTTGGCGAAACGAAGCACGAACGTAACATTTCACAGGTACAGTTACCATGCAAATGCATGTTGAGTTTGTCATTGTTTTTAACCCCAAATCACAAGTAGCATGCAGTTCTCCTGCCCGCCCCCTCCCACCCCCCCAACTACTGTATTAGAGATAGTCTGGGTAATGTACCTCTTTGGTGTAACCATAGCCTGTTAGGCAAGATTATACCACCCTAGGAAAGAATACAAGCAAAACTTGATCATATGTATGTTTGCACAATGTACATTTTACCATTCAAAAAAAACCCGAAACATGTTACATAGATTTTCAAACACAGCTCTGTCGAAAATGAAATTTTAAGCTTAAGAAATAGTTTTTAAACTACAAGGCCACCCCATTATTTTTTTTATGAACAATTTAAAAAGTTCCCACCCCTAAAAATCTGCCGGTATATTTCCTCAGCTGTAACAGCCTTACCCACTCTCTAATACAGTTGATCTTTGCTTGACAGCAATAACAGTTCTTACATTTCTTAAATGCATGAGATAATGGACTCCGGGATAGATATAGTTCTTAAATGTGTAACACTGGAACAAATCTGCCTTAAATGATTAATTGGTCAATTCGGGTGCTCTCCGGCACCACCGCTCAGGCAGGCGCTTCTGCTGTTCACTGATGCGAGTTCTGGCTTTTGTTGGCATCGAGGTCCACGACCACACACGTGTGTTCAGAATTTGAGTACAACAGCGATGCACTGGATACTCTTGTACCCTGTTTGCTCAAAAACATGGAGGAGCACTGTTTTCTGTATTTCCTCATCCAAACAGGGCAGCAGCCCCAGCACAGCACCTTCGGCCAACACAGAACTATTTGGATGCAAAGTAGAATTTTTAAATTTTGTTTTTTGTAGTTGTTTAAGCAACTGCAATGGGTTTAAGCAACTGCAACGGCAGACTTAACTTGCAGGGTCTTTATTAGAGGGTTACCGTCCTCCTCAGCTTTATACAATGGAGCCCTTTGAAGAAGACAAATGAATGGACTGAATCCTTGTGGCCAACGTCCTCTGTAAGTCTTGTAGTACATTTTGACCAGACGTTTCTCCGTTCTTGTCATACAACAGCTGTTTGAAAGCTTCATTTTCAATGAGGACCATCATATTTTTTAGAAAGTAGCCTTCACAATAGGAAGATAGTTCGGTGACTCCAAGAAACTACAAGAAGTAAAATTAGAGAAAGATAACTATTCTGAGAAAACGTGCTCAACAAATACAGTGCGTAAGACCTGCACACAAACAAACACACAAACTAAGCCTTACAGACAGGCACAGTCACCCTTACAGATACAGATGTGGGAGGGGAAGGTGTTAATCAGTACTTTATGCTGATGATTCTGGTCACAGTTCCATGTTAAGGAAACAAACTTGAAGGCTGAAATTTGCTCCCTTGGAAATTAGTGGGAGTTTTACCACAGAGTTCACTAGACCCATGATTTCATGTTAGAAGTTACACCCTAAAACTATAGGTTTGGGACAACTTACTACAGACCAAGTATAATTAATGCCGTCTTTAGCAAGGACAGGACACATGACCTGTCACGCAAAGTTTCATACTTCAAGGAATCTTTGGAGGAGAAATGGAGATCTGCAGAGCATGTGGTATGGGGCTGACAGTATCCCCCTTACACTGAACCGTGTCTGGGTAATAGGGCCGGATACGGTAACGTGTGAGGAATCCTTAACTGTGTGAGCAAAAATGTATGAGCAAACCTTAAATGACCCATACTGGTTATCTGACGGGTGACCCATACTGGTCATCACCCACTGCCTAGATCCTGTGGTTATACAAAGCGTATAGCCGTGATCTGCCACTATAAGAGTAATTATAAGCCATGCAAGTGTAGAGAGCAGTGCTCAGCCCATGCTCCAGCCCAAGTAATCTCCTGCTGGGTCCGAGCTCTGAGTAAAACAGGAACCTTTGGCTGCAAAGTGCAGCCCGAAGGGCCAGAACTGCTGGGGCATTGCACAGCTTTGGGTCCAGACTGGAACAACTACACAGCAGTGTTGCCCACCACCACCTTAACATCAGAGTCAGAACTAAGAATTGAAATTGCTAAAAAAAAAAAAAAAAAACCCAAAAAAACCCACCAAGAAAAAAAATTAAAAATAAATAATTAAAAAGCCCCAAAACAGATTAGGCCAAAGTTGGATCTGTCTTCCCAAGGAAAATGAATTATTTCAACTTGATTTCAAACCATGTAAGTTTTCATCAAACTATGAGTGCATTACTTTGCACCTGGATGCGACAGCATATGTGTGAATCTGTATTCTTCTCTGAAACACCATTCATCCTTATTCATTATTTCATTTATTCATTACATTGAGGAAATAATGCATTTTTCTTTTTTTTTTTTTAAGTTTGTTCTGAGGCCCAGACTGCAATCTGTGCAAGTGCTGAGTGTTTTAGGCATGTATTTGAAACTCCAATTGATTTTGCGGGGAGTTTGGGGGCATTCATGTAAAACACAACTGATATCCAGTGGTAACTAATCAATCACCATTATAAATATAGTTTGCCCAGTTACTTCACTCCTCTCTGGAGGTAAAAAACAGTGACAAAGACTTTGAAAAATGAAACCATGAAAGTGATACTAATCCACTGGCTGCCTTTGTAGATGTTGCAACGGTAAGAATGGAAAGCCTGTAGGGATGCCACAGACGATTTTAATACTCTCAATTCAGCTTTTTAATTGTAAATGTGACCGAATCCACATTTTCTCACCTTCCTACCAGTACTTCACCTCTTTAACCCAGGGTCTCAATCTC